CACCGCTTTGGAGAATCTCTACAGGTTCAACGTCGGCGGCAACTATGTCGACATCAAAGACGACAGTGGGCCCGCACGCGGCATGTTTCGGGCCTGGGACAAAGACGATGACTACATCTTCGGCGGCGATTTCGGTTACACCCCTCACGTTGAACGTGTGCCGATCAATTACACCGCCGAAACGCCGCCGTACAGTGCCCCGGAGATAGTGTACCAGACTTCCAGAGTGATGGCGAATACCAGCATAAGCCTGGAGTGGGCGTTCCCCGTCGATTCCGGGTTTTACTATCTGCTCAGATTCCATTTCTGCGAGATCCAGCTGGAAGTGACAGGGCAGAATCAAAGGCCTTTCACAATCTCCATCAACAATCAGACGGCGGAGATTGAGGTCGACGTCATTCAATTGACCGGCGGCACTCATATTCCCGTCTACAGAGACCTCATAACCTTTGTCCCCGACGACGGCCGACGTGGCAGGAAAGACCTCCGCCTGTCCTTGTTCCCCTTCACAGAAGGGAACCCCAAATACGCGAACGCTCTCCTAAACGGATTGGAAATTTACAAACTCAACGACTCTACCCGGAGTCTCGCGGCCGCAAACCCCCCACCGGCCGCCGCCTCTCTGCCGCCGCCGCCGCCAAACCCAACTCCGAAGAATAAAAGTGGAGGTTCTTCTGTAATATTACCCGTCGTGTGTAGCGTAATCGGCGCTCTCGCGGTGGCCGCCGCCGTCGGTTTCTTGATTTTCCGGCGGAGCCGGAAAATCAAGGACTCGGCTTATTCCAAGAGCGGCCCCACGAAGTCGTCGTGGGTGCCGCTCTCCACCGCGTCTGGTTCAACCACCGGGACCGGTGGGTCCGGCATATCTCTACCGTCGGATCTATGCCGTCACTTCTCGTTGGAGGAGATCAAAGCCGCCACGGGAAACTTCGACGAAAATTTCGTCATAGGCAAAGGAGGGTTCGGCAACGTGTACAAAGGGTTCATAGACAACGCTGCCACCACCGTGGCCATCAAGAGGCTGAACGCGTCGTCGAACCAAGGTGTCCACGAGTTCCTAACCGAAATCGAGATGCTTTCGAAGCTACGGCACGTCCACTTGGTCTCGTTGATCGGCTACTGCGACGAAAGAGGTGAGATGGTATTGGTGTACGATTACATGGCGCGTGGTACCCTACGCGACCATCTATACAACTCCGAGAACTCACCGTTGAAGTGGAAGCAGCGCCTCCAGATCTGCATAGGCGCTGCCAGAGGGTTGAACTACCTCCACACCGGAGTTAAAAACTCGATCATCCACCGCGACGTGAAGTCCACGAACATCCTGGTGGACGAGAAGTGGGTGGCGAAGGTGTCCGATTTCGGGCTGTCGAAGGTGGGGCCCGCGGCGGGCGGGGCCCACACCCACGTCAGCACCGTTGTGAAGGGGAGCTTTGGGTATGTTGACCCGGAGTACTACCGGCGGCAGCAGTTGACCGACAAGTCCGACGTGTACTCGTTCGGGGTGGTGCTTTTCGAGGTTCTCTGCGCCCGGCCGGCGATAATTCCGAGCTTGCCGAGGGAGCAGGTGAATTTGGGCGAGTGGGCGAAGTTCTGTTACAAGAAGGGGACGCTCGAGCAAATCGTTGATTCCAATCTTGACGGCCAGATTGCGCCGGAGTGTTTGGGTAAATTTGTAGAGACGGCGATCACTTGCTTGAAGGAGAAGGGGATCGACCGTCCGGCCATGGGCGACGTCGTTTGGAGCCTCGAGTTCGCCATGCAGCTGCAAGAAGCGGCGGAGCGTAGAGGCGGCGATGGGCCGGCGGCGGATGGCGGCGACGGCGACATCTTCTCGATAAACCCATCTTTCCCGCTGCTCGTCGGCGCCGGTCAAAACACGACGGAGGAGGAAATGTTTTCTGGGTCCAGTGAGGGTTTGTCGGCGTCGAAGAGCAGCGGCTTGTCCACTGACAGCAGCGGCAAATTCAAGCCGGATGATGTTTTTTCTGAAATCAAGAATCCGATTCCGCGTTAATTAATTAATTAATTAATTAATTTCCCACTTTTACTATAAATATTATTTTGAGATATATACATATATATTATTTTCCTCTTATTGGCTAATTAATTGGTCATCTGGCTTTGGTGGAACTATAGTTAATGGAACGACAGCGTTTTGTCACTTCAAGGAAAGAGATGAGCTGGTATTTAATATAAATGAAGGAGATGTTATAGCCTGGGGGAGGAAAGAAACAAAGGGGATCGAGAATTGGAATGAATGAGAAGAAGAAGGATGAGATTGAGATAAATTGGGGGCTGAAGAAGAAGAGAAACCCTAGAATTGTTAAAGGAGGAGTCTTGGCACAATCGGGAATTGAGGAAGAGATTGAAGGACAAAACGATGCCGTTTTGGTTGGACCGGATTTCGGGGCTAAGGGCCGAGTTTAGCAGTCCACTTATGTTATTTGTTTTAATTTTGGTTGGGCCATTTGTTGTTTTAAGCCCAGTAGTTATTTTGTCTATTTTGTTTTAAGCTTTGCTGATGTTATTGTTAGTGGGCTAGGGTAGAAAATATTCCCTACGTTGGAAGGGGTATTTATACCACATTGGGTGTGAGGAATGTTCTTATGAAAAGTTTCACTAATCCTTTCCTTTCTTACTTTCTTCCTTCTCAAGTCTTTCTATTCTCATCTCAATCTCTTCAATTAATACAGTAAACATAAATATTATAATAAATTACAATAAATAAATATTATTATATCCTTGGATCTTGACAATTGGTATCAGAGCAAGGTCTGATCTAATGGCGGATGGCACCAGATTGGAAGCACACCGGAAATTGTTGGAGCAGAAGCTACAGGAGGAAATGGACAAGAGAGTGGCTGTGGAAACAAACCTGCAGGAGCAGATCAGTTTAAATCATGAGGAAACAAAGAAATCATTTGAAATTATGCAAATTCAGCTGGGCAAAATAGCTGAGAGAATAGAGATGTACAACAGAGACAAATCCATTATGGGGGAAGGATCTGCTTCAGGCACAAATCCAACACCATTTACTGCCCAACCAGAGCATTTCACCAGACCCCCAGAATACAGAAACAACAAAGGGCAAGATGTGATGGTAAACTCAAACCCTTTTTCTGGTAATTACAACCCTAACCCTAAAATTGAATTCCCCAGATTTGATGGTAGCAGTCCTAGAACATGGTTGTTTAAGTGTCAAGGGTATTTTCAGTTGGTGTCAAACATACCTGACACTCAAAAAGTAGTGTTAGCTGCTTTGCATTTTGAGGGTAGAGCAGCCATTTGGTATGGGCAAATCTCACAGAATAATAGGGTTTATTCTTGGGATCAGTTTGTTGGCTTAGTTTCTGCTAGATTTGAGGATCTGAGGGAAGCTAAAGTGTTGGCTGAGATTGGCAAGTTGAGAGTTACAAACTCTTTTGAGGCTTACATTGATAAATTTGAAGAGCTTAGGGCTTATTTGTTGATGTTCAATACTAGAGAATATGATGATGAGTTTTTTCTGACCTTCTTTGTTAGTGGTCTGCCTGAGGAGAATCAGAAATTCTTTGATTTGTTTGAACCCAAATCATTTCAACATGCTATTGAAATGACAAGGAAACAGGAGGCTACCCTAGAAGCTGTTTCTAGGAGGGCTAAAGGTGGAATGAAACAAATGATGCCATACCAAAACCAGCAAAGAAGACTACCCTCAAACTCTGAGTCACATCAGAACCAACCAACCAAGACACCCTATACTCCACCAGCTCTTATGCCACCCAGAAAACTACTTACTAGGGAAGAAATGAAGGCTAGAAGACTGAAGGGTTTGTGCTTTAACTGTGATGAGCAGTATAGCCAGAATCATAAGTGCAAGTTTAGTCAATTGTATATGATTATGACTGATGAAGATGAGGAGACTCATTTACTCAGCCTAGCTGGGGAAGACAGTTCAGAAAGGGGGGAGGCTCACTGTGATGGGGAGGTTTCTTTGAATGCTATTGAGTGGAACAGTGGTGTGAAGACCATCAAAGTGGTTGGTGAAGTGGAAGGAGGGCCTTTGAACATTCTCATTGACACAAGAAGTACTCATAGCTTCATCAGTGAAGTCTTGGCTATTCAACTCAGCTGCCACATTGATGAAACTAACCCTATGACAGTCACCATGGCAAATGGGACCAAAACTACTAGCAGGAAGATTGTCAATGGCCTGATTTGGATGATGCAAGGTGAACCATTCACTTTCCCTCTGAGGCTGTTAACTCTCAAGGGGTTTCACATTGTTCTGGGGTGTGATTGGTTATGGGAAAACAGTCCTGTGAAGTTTGATTACAAAAGGAGATTTGTCAAGCTCAAAAGGGGGTATTTGCACTTGGCTCCCCTGTGAAATGTCTAATTGTCAAAAAACCCCCTCGGATAAAAAAATTAGCAAATACCCCCCTATGAAAGGAAGTCAATGACAATAAGGACCCTACGAGTGAATCGTGGGATACACTCGCGGTTCATGCAGCTGGGCGTGCGTTTTAGGACATTTTAGGACAGGAAAAGACATAAAAGCCCTTCAAAAAAATCAATCAACAAAAGGACATTTTAGGGCGTGCGTTCTATCGTCTCTCACGAATCGCCCGGAGTCTCCACCGCCACCACTGCCCTTCTCTCTCCACCGCAAACTCCTATTTCGACTCACCCCAACCCTCTAGCAATTATAACTCCCCTCCCACTCGCCGCCGCCTGCACCACCTCTTCGAGCTCTCCGGTAATTTTGGCTCCAAAATTCAATGGCACAATCACAGCAGCTCGATAAGATCAATCGGCGCCTATCACAAACTTATTCAGCACTCCAGCTTTTCCACCACAGCACCCGACGGAAAACGAGAAGAATCGAAAAAGCCGAATATCAACAATGGCGATCGTTCGTGGATTGATGTTTATTTGCCGGAAAATGCGCGGCCGTACGCTCGGCTGGCGCGGCTGGACAAGCCGATCGGCACTTGGCTTCTGGCTTGGCCATGTATGTGGTGAGTGTATTTTGTTTACGCCACATAAAAACCACATCCTTCTTCTCCAAATCGCCACCTATTAATCGGCGGCGGAGAGATCTCCAGTGAGGTAGGCGGCGGAGAGATCTCCAGTGAGGTAGGGTCGCCGATGGAGTCTCCAGTGATGTTGGGTCGCCGCTCGGAGTATCCTGTGATGATTGGCCGGTGATGGAAGGGGGAGTGCGCTGCCATGGAGGTGACATCCATGGCAGACGCAACAAAGTTGAAGGGCTCTGGGGTAAGGTGTCGAGGAGAGGAATTTGAACGAGGGGTGGGCGGCGGTGATTCGAGACAGCGGCAGTGTAGAGGGAGAGAAATTTGAAGGAGTGGGTGGGTGTCGGAGGGCCAGACGGCGGCGGTGCTGAACTTATTATAGGCCGACGGAAATGGGGAAGAAGGAAATGGGGAAGAAGGTGTAAACTTTGGAAATTACAATTTGGTCCTCTAAATTTAGGTTATTTATAATTAAATCAGTTTGATTTTTTTTTCTTTTTTGCTTTATTTTTTATTAAGGGCAATTCTGTCATTTCACGTAAGTCAACGAGTCAGTGCACACAAAGGGGCGGTGGGCTGACTAAAACACAACATAGGGGGTTATATGCTAATTTTTTTTTCCGAGGGGGTTTTTTGCTTCCGAGAAATAACACAGGGGGGTCTATGCAATTAACTCAGCTCAAAAGGGGGGATCAGAAAGTGGTAATTACTGCCAAAAGAAGATTTTGAGGAGGGTAAATTGCTGACTGTTCATCCTGATATGAGCAAATGAGGAATTAGCACCACTGAGGGGGTAGTCAATTTTGCACAATACAAACCAACAGTGGGACTGTTGTTGTGCCTGAGAAGATTCAGAAGTTGCTGGAGCATTATGAAGATTTGTTTGCTGAACCACAAGGGTTGCCACCAGTGAGGGGGGTTGAGCACCAAATCATTCTCAAACCTGATGCCCTACCTAAACAATTATACCCCTACAGATACTCACATTCTGCCAAGGATGAGATTGAAAGGATTGTTGATGAACTGTTCAAAGGGGGAGTTATTAGACAGAGCCAAAGCCCTTTTGCATCTCCTGTCTTACTGGTAAAGAAGAAAGACAGTTCATGGAGGATGTGTGTGGATTATAGATATGTGAACACCATGACAGTCAAACATGATTATCCTATACCTATCATTGATGAGCTTTTAGATGAATTGTATGGGGCAAAATGGTTTTCAAAGATAGACCTGAGGTCTGGCTACTTTCAAATTAGAATGAAGGATGAAGATGTGTACAAAACAGCCTTCAAAACCCACCATGGTCATTTTGAATTTCTGGTAATGCCATTTGGGCTTTGCAATGCTCCTGCCACATTCCAATCTCTCATGAATTAGGTGTTTGCAAGGTATTTGAGGAAATTTCTATTAGTGTTTTTTGATGATATACTGGTGTATAGTTCTAGTTTGAAAGAACATATGGAACACTTAGACACCACACTGACAATCCTGAGGGATCATCAGCTCTATGCTAAACAGTCCAAGTGCCAATTTGGGCAGACCAGCATAGAATATTTGGGTCATATTATCAGTGCACAAGGAGTGTCCACTGACCCTAATAAGGTTCAGAGTATGCTGAATTGGCCTATACCCACTACTGTCAAAGGACTCAGGGGTTTCTTAGGCCTGACAGGGTATTACAGGAAGTTCATTAAGGGGTATGGGAGTGTGAGCATACCTCTTACAGATATGTTGAAGAAAGGGAAGTTTAAATGGACATCTGAATCTGAGCTAGCCTTTGCACAACTCAAAGAGGTTATGGCCTCTTCTCCAGTACTTGCTCTACCAGACTTCACAAAGCCATTTATAGTAGAAACTGATGCCAGTTCTACTGGCCTGGGAGCAGTATTGATGCAGGACAACAGACCCATTGCATTCTTGAGCAAGGCTTTAAGTGCTACACACCAAGCCCTGTCTATTTATGAGAGAGAATTTATGGCTGTCTTGCTGGCCATTCAGAAGTGGAAACACTATTTACAAGGCCATCACTTCATTCTCAGAACAGACCAGCAGAGCATTAAGTACATTGTAGAGCAGAAATTCACTACTGCCCTACAACAGAGGTGGATTGCCAAGTTGATTGGACTGGATTATGAGATTCAATACAAGAAAGGGGTGGAGAACAAGGTAGCTGATGCACTATCTAGACAAGAACACACGGCAGCCAGTGTTGGTGCCATGTCTACAGTGCAGCCAAAATGGTTATTGGAAGTTCTGGAGAGTTATAAGGGGGACAATGAAGTTAGTAAGATTATGGTAGCTAAAGCTATTGATGCAACAACCTATGGTGACTATGGGCTGGTACAAGGTGTATTGAGGTTCAAAGGGAAGATCTATGTTGGCACACACACAGATCTTAGAACTAAGTTATTGGAGTTTTTCCATAACTCAGCCATTGGGGGGCATTCTGGTATGTTGGGAACTTATCAGAGGTTGAAGGAAAATTTTTACTGGCCTGGAATGAAAGCAAAGGTTGTGGAATGGGTACAAAGCTGTGATGTTTGTCACAGAGCTAAACATGAAAACACTCCCTACCCAGGTCTATTGGAACCTTTAGAGGTCCCTACAGGTGCATGGACTCATATCTC